CTTTAACAACAAAATAGTATTGCTTTAGAGAAGCTATACCACTACCCATCCAAAATAATCCAACAAACTCAACTAAAAGTCTGATACAATGGAACAGGGGTACAAGTGCATTTGTATCTGCTCTCTTCCCAGCCCTACTCATAGTTGGCTTGGAGGCTAAGTAAGTTGCCGCTAGAACTCAGCACCTATTAGACTTATCGCTTAGATCTCTTTACCTTCATATATAATGAAAGTTTCCAGTGCAGCGATGCAGTTTTCTCAATATTTACAAAAATTTCACTTATACCCATTTACTTCTAGGGTCCTCATTTATACATTGGCGTGTTCCGGACGGGGTTCGTCCGTGACCAACGGCCTGAAATGAATCCCAAACGATATTTTTGGGATTCACTGGCGATACACGTAAATGATACAGACCGCACGGACTTGTATAAACGCGATTTTATTGTTTTGTGAATACGAGTGCTGGTAAACGGACAAGCAGGAGATGTTGTGCGGTTAGTATGATATGTTTTTTATATGTCCTAAAGAAAAAAAAAATAGTATTGCGACATTCTAAATTATTCTGTATATTTTAATTCAATAATTCTGTATATTTTAAATTCTCCATCGGTTTGTCTTTTTTTCCACATGATGCACACTCCATCTTCTTTATTTCCGCATTTTCTGCTCTTTTCTTCTTCATCAAGTAATAATCCCAACAAGGTGGGATCTTCTATCGAAGCCGTCATATTTTCAACTCTCTTTTACACAGAAATAACGTACGTAATCCTCTCTATTCAGTCCGGCACGCACACTCCAGCAACGCGGTTGTATGTAAATATAACATTAAAAATACGCGGACTCAGCACTGCCACGGAACGGATATGTATAAATCGACCTTAATGGCCTATGACTTGTGACGGATAACTGTTTTAGACAACGGACCAACAAACTCAGTAAAACACAGGTTTAAATTAAAATTATATTCGAAATAAATAAATAACAAAATAAAATTAGATCCTAGGTAATATTATACAATAAAAATTAAAACGTCAATCCTGGCGACGACGCATGACCCACTGTTTAATATCTGCGAAAAATAAAATACAATTAATGACATAAAATCTAAACGACAATTACGATGTGTTAACAAATAGACGGGAACGAGCGGATCGAAGGAATAGAGATAGAACGGGCCAATTAACACTCGGCCCGGCGAGGAACGGATGGTAACCAATCACTACTCGGTCAAAGGAGAGAAACTGTCTCAGATGAATACTCCAAGACCGGATACGGAACTGCCACCAGATCTCTATCAGAATCGGTTGGCCTCCAGTCAATACTCAGAGGCCCGGTGGAGTTCCCACTAGATCAGACAAACTTTTTAAATATAAAAATGATTTACAAGATCTAGAACTATTAACCACAAAATAAAGTATGTATGCAAAAAAAAGAAAGTTTATAAAATTACCGATTTGCGTTATTAACTTTCAGAATCTGATGTACTGCTGTCATCATTAATGTTAATAATGACTCAACTTGGGGTTCAATTAAATTGTTCAACTCCCACATTTTTGGCTCTACTTCTTCTTTTACTTGTCCGACGCAGTTTTTCCATTTTTTCATGGTTACAGCATATATAACTTCATGGAATAAATTTTTAACGTCAACAAATTTAAATGTTGTGTTATTGGCAGCAACATAATTCTTGACTTGTGCCCATACAAGCTCTATTGGATTGAGCTCACAGTGGTAAGGTGGCAATCTTAACACTGTTCTCTGTATTTGTGCTTCTTACCAGTTCATATACTATGTACTTATTATATTCGCCTTTATGTTGTTTAACGATTTCTAAAAGTTGCACTTTTAACAGCATTTCTTCAAAGGGAATGTTTTTTGGGCGAAGCCAATTTTGAATATCTGCCTGTTTGGTAGCCGTAATGGGAATTTTTCCAATTTTCTGGAATGATAAAGGGCATTGTCCATCACAATTACAGCATTTTTTCCAGTGTTGGTAAAATCTTTTGGAGCCAACTTTCAAATGACTTCCCATCCATCTCCTCATGGTAGCCTCCACTTTTGCTGGATTTTAAAAGCCCACAGTGCATCCGGAACAAAACCTCACTTCCAATGTGACAGATTATCAATCTTTTACCTTTTCCTAAAAGTGATATTAAAGATAATAATAAAAAATTTCAGTAAAAATAACAAAAAAAAATTATTTTAATTTAAATTACCTGAGGGATTTTTTAAGCCTGTCGACAGCCCATCCAAAAATACATGTTTTGCAGAAGGCACGGAAGCATCCACCCTTTCGATTTTGTATGGCCAGCATTTATCCATGTTTCGTCCCAAGTAATAAATTGTTCTATTTTCAGCTCTATATTGTCTTATCTTTTGCAGATGATATAGCACAATTTTATTTTTGTTGAGTGGCAAATTTTTTCTTACACGTTTTTGAAATTTAAAATTTAATTTTCGCAAGAGTTTGTAAAACGTGATTCTCTTAAAATTTGGTAAGTCATTACCATTATTTACATCTCGTTAAGACTTTGTCAATTGTAGGCACTTCATTACGGAAGAAATATTGATGAACTTTTCTTCTTATAGCTGACTTATCAAAATCATCTACAGTATCCATTGATTTTGAACGATTTTGATTTGTTTTAGGTGCAGATAATGTATGGGTACTTTTGTACTGTTTAATGGCATTGAAGACAATTTTCTAACAACCTGTATCTTTATCTGCAATCTTTTGTTGAATGTCCGTTAACGCTAAAGTAGGATTATCTTGTAATTCACATTTATGTATTAACCATTATTTCTTTGGTTCTTATATCTATGTGATTCTTTTAGCTCTTTTCCTAGGAGGACTTAGTGGTAACAGTTGCCCATTTTCATCCGCATACTCCGTATCAGACATTTTTAATAAATCTAATTATTATACTTTTTCCAACTAAAATCACAAAATGTGCATTTTCAAAATTTACTATTATAGTAGAGGATCCAATATAAGGTCGACCTGCATCAATCTGTTCAATGGATAAAAAATATTTGATGTGTAATATAGTATGTTAAAAATTATAAAAAAGAAAGGGTGCCCGATATAATTTTGTCCTGACTATAACTAATAATTAAAAAATGACTTTGTTTTATTTGTAACAAACTTTGTAAACAAAATTTCGACCCGTGCAGATTTTAGAATTTTTTGAATCATTCGAAACCCAAAAGACCCTTTGTAATTTTTCTATTATGTTGATTGTTTTCGAGTTATAAACAATTTAATACTAAAAAAAAACGAAAACTGACGATTTTAAGGCTCAAAAAGACAAGTAAAAAATATTGTAAAGGGTACTGATTGGAAGTATGATTTCCTTTACAAAATATTTTTAAAATTTTCATTTTTGGACAGTAACAGTGCTAGTTATTAGAAGCAAGGTATGGAGCCCGTAATTCTTCACACAGCTTACGACGACTTAGTGTGCGCTCATAACAAGGCGCCGACCATAGGATGGTATCATAGTATCATCGTCACGTAAAATAAATGCATTATTTTAAAAATTCCAGCGTTCACCGTCAAAGCGCAGCGCCCAGTCTCGAAGCCAGGTATCGGACCATAGACTTTGGACCATAATATTCCAGCCATCGAGCAAAAAGACAAAAGAGAGAATCTAATCGTTATGAAAAGGAAACCAAAAAGTGGCCTCTGATGGCGGACATATCCGGAAATGCAAAGGCGCTAAATTTAAATTTTAATTATAGACACTTATTAACAATAGCTATAAAATATTTTTCAGACGAGAAAGTTTTAATTAAATATTAACGATAATAGTCAAAAATATGACACAAATGGTAAAAAACTTCAATATAAATAAAATTTCATGTGACAGTTGGGACAAACAATAACATAACCAAACTAAATTTGATTTCTTAAACAAGGAAAGAAACTGTCTTTCCTTGTTTAAAGTGGCCTCTCAAGATGGCACTTCCTGTCTAACAATATTTTTGTTACCACTACCTTTACATTCCCTCTTTTGTCTTTTTGCTCGATGATTCCAGCTTAGTATTTTTTCGATTCTCGTCCCTAGTTACGATCGACACTACGAGGTGCGGACCACCGAGCCTCGCTGCGATCATCGTATCTATCGCCAGGTAAAATAAATGCATTATTTCAAATGCGAACGTTCAGCACTGTCAGTCTATGATCTAGGCGAGGATACCATGCGATGGTCTCGGCAATGAACGCAGCCTTAGATTACTTCCAATTATTTCTATATAAATAATCAGTGCATTTATTGCTCCTAAGTCAAGAATGGTATAAAACACATGTATAGGCCATCGTCTTGAAGCAACTTTTGTAGTATAAAGTAAAGACGCGGAATTTGGTCCCTAAATCAACCTTATATTTGGTTTGATTATAAAAACTAAATGTTTCAGGAAGTTTTTTTTATCGACAGCAACATCCACTGATTAATGTAACGAGCTCAACAAAAGCACATTTTTGTGACTCTTTCCTTGGTTTGCAGTACGTGTTATTTTTTCGTCGCTCTGGAATATATGGATAAAATACAATTCTCTATTTTCACGCTTTACGCTTAGAGGCAGTAATACCGTAAAACGGGGAGAAGTGATACAGTTTTCAAATTCAAAATGCATTGGCAGCGACAAATTTTATTTTTAATCGACTTTATACTCATGATTTTATTGATCTACCATCAGACTATCTAATCATATGATCCAGATACACCATATAAAATAAATGGTGTATTACTTCCTAAAAGCCTTAGGGTGAACTGAGACACATAGTATGTTTTAAAAAAACTTTTTATTCATAAAGAAAAATAAAAAAACTTTTTTTTGAACATTTTAGGCGGCTATATCGCAGTTCCACGGGATTCTGAAGTTGGCTGATTAGCTCATGAGAATACACTATGCTAGTTTCTTTAATTTCAGGCCATACAAAAATGTCTCTGTGACACCTACACTGCTTTAAAAAACTTACTTCTATGATCCTGTTGTCACCCCTGCTGTTCTCGCTTACAGTAGTCACCTGAAAACAATACAACTTTCTTTTTTGTGATCAGATCCTTACATTTTACAACTATGAAGTCTTCTTCATTGATGGACATATAATCAATTTCTGGAATAGGTTCTTCATTTTCTCCTAAGGCAACTGTATCAAAGTCTTCTTCGCTTGTGCTATCATTAGACATTTCCGACTCTTCGGTCGATTCCGGGTCACCCACTGACTCCTCTCCAAGATTTGCGACACTTTTTCCTGGTTCAACCTGGAGCTTTGTCTTCCGGCTAATTCTTGGTCTGGGCTTTTCTTTTCCATAGCGTAGCTTACAAAGCAGACCTATCACAGAATCATTCATATTTTCTTCAATGTGAACGGGATTCGCACCAACTCCTTTGTTGGGTAACAGATTCAATATTTCTTGACGGTCCAATGGAACAATACCTGTTTTTCTAAAACCTAAGTGGTTAGAAAGGTTTAAGAAAGGCCACATCTAGAGGTTAGGCCAGATGAGTTGAGTGTTTGAGAAGCATAGTAAATACGATTTCGTTATCTCCACCTGATGTTAAAACAGCTTCGGAAAAATGACTTGAGAGAATGTCTCCTATGAGAACTCTCGTAAGTTTCTGCAAGAATCGTAATGCTCCTGTAAAATACCAGTCCTCAAAATGGATTTGGTCAAACCAGCCACTTTTTGTAAACCCACAATGTGTGCCCTTAGGATCTCCCAAACGCCATGAACCATCACTGCAAGAAAACATCAAACTCGTTGCAGATTTTGCAAAGTCGTTTACTTTTTCCGGATGCTTTTGACCCCTTCTACAAATAATTTTTTTGTTGCCTGGATCGTCGGTCAGATTTGTCTCATCGTAGTTAACGATGATACAAGGCTGGACACCCCTAAGAGTTTCTTCAAGATTGTCAAAATACTCATTGAATGTTTGTATTGGATGGGCTTATTCTTAAGCTAAGCTGTTCTTTGTGCCTCTTAAGGAAGAACATAGCCCAATCCTCACCTGGTAAGATATTTTTAAATGACCTTAAAGTCCTTCCTTGTTTGTCCAAATATATCTATGTTTATATGGCTATGGAGCCCTACCTTCAAAACAGACTCCTCCATGGAACTCAAAGTTGACTGCCCACCTTTTGGTACGCAAAGTTAATTTTCCGCATCTTACTGCATTCACAGCCTTTTCTAAATCGTCCGAATTATATTCTCTTAAAGGTTTTGCCCCAGGGGGTCTCTTGTAAAACCTTGTCATGTTTGTTTTATCTGAAATTATATATTGTGTTCTTATCCAATTTTGAATTTTAGATGTTACAGTAAGAAATATTTTATAATATGGCAACACTGTCGATAATATTTTTACATTACATCAAATGTCAACTACAAATTGGTTATGTTGGTTGACCTAATCTAATTGGAATTTTAGTTTGGAGTACTTCACCCCGGTAGGGACTAAAAAGTTTAAAAATCTATTTTCTCAGAAAACGTGTTTTGATTTTGGAATTGCAATTACATATTATGAATCCTTGATATATTCCTTAATTTATGTGACAAACTCAGCCTTATTGAAATGCTTGGTCAGTGTTCCGCAAGCAAAGTTTCCGACAGCTTCCAAAACTGCACAATATAACCTCAAAAACAAACAAACCAAACGTGCATGACAATTGGCAGGAAAAATCAGGTGACTGTCAAGGACATTAATACTGACCCATTTGGACTGTCTCACACCACTGTTGCCAAAATATACTTTCAAATTTAATTACTGAGATTTTTTTTGACAACCCCTGCTTTTTGTATCAGTTTACCCCATTGTATCACTTCACCCGGTTTTACGGTACTAACAAAATGCAAGAAAAAAATTAAGGGCGAACTTCAAAAAGTTAAACAAATATGTATCTAATACCATTTAAACAGGTAAGTAACATGAGGTAAGTAATCAAATACATTTACTAACTATTGAAAATTGTCATGCTTTTGTTTTCATGCTTTTACTGAAGCGAAGTTTTCGATGATATCATTTATATTTAATTCATTTAGCAGGTCCTCGTTAATGGATAAAACTGCTAAGAAGTGTAAATTTTCTTGGGAAATTGTATTTCTTAAGTAGGTCTTTACCATTTTTAGTGTCAACAGAGAGCGTTCTTCACTGCATTTGCGACCATTATGGAGAAAAAACACAGGCAAATATTAACGTTTGGAAGATATTAATTTATTTTCGAATAAAACCTGTACCAATTCTAAAGGAGTGTCTATTTTTAATTAAGGAAGAGACGTTAACAAATGCTTTAAATGAATACATTCTTGGGGAAAATACTCGTCCAAATCCTCCTTGTATTTTTGTTGTAATTCGGTTGCTGATCTGAATATCTTCATCTTCCGTAATTTTTATTTTAACCAAAAATTCAAATGCTCTTGAACAAGATTTATAACTATCAGATCGGCGAATAATCTCCGACTTAAGATTATGTATTATAAAAACATAACATTGTATTTGCAATTTTTCTTTTTGGCTTAAACTTACATCCTTACATTGTAACGACTATTTTGCTTACCTCAGGGTAAGGACATGGGGTAGAAGATTGGGCAAACAAAATAATCGGAACTAGTGCGTACGGCACTCAGTTGGTTGTTGGAGAGCTGGGTCGTGGATAAGTTGAAGATATGGGGGTTGGATTGGGGCAACTACAAAAATTAAATAAAGGGGTACTTATACAATTCTTTTGGGACAAACAGAATGAAAATAAACAGGAAACACCTCAAGAAATTTAATATAGGGCGCCACTTGAGGTGCCTAATTATACATATTACAACCACTAGTTTAAACTAGGGAAATAATTGTAGAACATCAAAAATATAGAAAATAATATCTTTTTCAAATAAAACTCAAAATAGATCAGAGAAACAAATTAAACGTTTATTTTTGTCTCAAACAAACAGTTATCAAAAATACAGATTATAAAAAAACATATATAACATAATACAAAATAACAAAAACTTACATATTCTTTGTTTACATAAAAGATTGCTACAAATATTTTGAAATGGTTCCTAGGTTATATATGGCCAATTTAGATTATCAAAATTTTATGGATATCCTTTTTATGAAAAATATTGAATTTAACCTTATATGAAATAACTTTTATATATGAAAAATCAAATCGAAATTGTTTTACAAAAACAATGGATTACAGCAAATGTCATATGTCAACATAACATTTTAAATCAGAATAAAATATGACATTTTTTAGCTACGACAAAACTAATATAAAACTTTAATTATTACAAATGCTGTCTTATTTTAATGAGAGCAATTATTAAAATGTCTTTATAACTTGGGAAAATTAATATATTAAATTGTTACCTTAATTTACATAATCACTTAACTTTGTAAAGGAAAAACTTGCTACATCTCTGGGCATATTCTCTAACATCAACAAGGAACCATTTATATACCCAGGCAGGAACGATTAAAACAGGAACTTGGTGTAAGAATCAAGCTGACTTACGGGGACATTCTATATAATACTTTTCAAAACGGTATCTATACAAATCTTCTAATGTACTCCAAAAAAAATAGAAAAAGTGGTGACCCTTTTCTAAACTGACATATTACATAGTCTACTATTTTCAACCAATTTTGCCGGTCTCTTTACCGACAAATCAAAACATCTCCATTTGAATCTTTTCTTCGATTCCACATTGTAGCACGTCTGCCCTGCTTGGAACTTAAATGTCAACTCCTTATTTACGTTACATTTTACAAATTCAAAGCCAAATAATTTCCCTTCCGTCCTACAGCTAGCCTGTCGTCCATAAACTTAAAACAAACAATCTTCCCCTTGTTATTCGTTCCTAACGATGAAAGACAAATAAAACCTCTTTTTTTTTATTAGGGGGCATCATAAATTATAATCCCTTTATATACAAAAAAACTTGTCTAAATAGATATAACATAATACAAATTAACAAAATAGCACGTATTTTTAAACCGGAGTTCTACCTGACTTTGTAACAAAAGGTTATAGGATTTGAAAGTACACATAGACAAAAAAATATATCCAGCGTTATTTACGCATTTACGCAGATTTTATGGCAATCTTTATGCGTACTGACGAGATAAACGAACAGGGACGTATTATAAAATTTAAAACGCTACAACATTATTTTCTCCTAGTTGCGATTTTTTTTTGATAATTCTCTTCTCAGCATAATTTTCGTTCCCTGTTAACAACATTCCTAAGGCCTCGTAGTCATCAAAACGATCTCGTAAGAAATCAAAGTAATCTACTAAAGATGATAATAGATGAGCGGTTGTGCTTAAATCTATATTTTCCTTTTTTCTGCTTTGTTAACCTCATTAATCCTTTGTAAAACGTTAAGCTAGAATGATAAAATTATTTCGTTTTACAACAAACAAGTTTTTCCGATAGAGAAGCTGCTTCAACTCTTACATTTTTCTCATTTATGTCCGTTGACATTTTAATCAAACCGCAATTGCTCTTTTTTAACATTTTTACGGCATCAAAACGAGAAGACCAACGGGTTGCATTCATTATTTTAGGTAACAGTGTCTGCCCCGACTGCCGAAGGCGAATCCTTTATTGCGAGACAATAACTTCCACTTTTATGTGATACGGAGAAAAAAATGTAGATAGTTTGTACCAACATAAAAAAAGATGTTGCTGCCAAACAACAATCTGCTGCATTTTGAACAACCAAATTTGAAGAGTGAGCAGCACACGGCACAAAGAGAGCTAAATCATTGTAAACTTTAATACGTGATTGTAAACCAGAATACTTGCCATTCATATTACTGTCATTGTCGTAAGACTGGCTTCTACAGTTCTTAATATCAAATTTCAATCTAACGTCCCAATAACGGTTTCCTCAAGTTCTTGTAACCTACGCCCAGTGTTTTTATAAACACATGCATTTGTAAGAAAAGTAAAAAATGATCATGGGGAACGCTTTTCGAAAGAAATGGAATATGATTTTTACGGTCTACAAAAGAAAATATGGGGCTTTATAAGAGGTCAAAGAGCGGAGGTAAATGAACTAATAGAACCAAAACCCATAGAAAAGGATACGTGAATTGACCACATAAAAAACTCTATGCAGAGAAAAAAGCAAACGACGCTAGAACCGGAAACACCAGAAATTGCCACAAATGAAGAATTTAATATAAATATACACGAAGTTCGTAAAATACTTGAAAAGCTGAAGAACAGAAAAGTAGCAAGTAAAGACGGGATATCAATGAATTACTGAAATATTGTGGAGCAGCAATGACAGAACAATTAACAACATTAATAATATTA